GTCTATTTTTGGGTGGCCGGGGGGGGCGGTGTGTGAACGAGGCGAAGAGGTGGGTGGCCGAGGTGAGCTCTGTGCTGCATCGGGAGAGGGGCTTGGGGTGGGGAGGTGGCCTCTCTGCATCACCCGTTATCGACTGCAACGTTCCCAGGAGCCTGGAAACATCACTTTGCGTTGTGTGCCAGGAGCTGGGCCTGCCCTTCCCTCCCGACGTGTCTGCTCAGTGTCCGGCTCCGTCTGCGCTATTGACAGGAGAATTAAACTCCACTTGCAGCTTGGTACTTGGCACAGCGTGAGGAATTCTCTACTCGGGGAGTTGTGCGTGGACTGGGATGTATGCCTCCTGTCTCCGTTTAGTTATTGGAAACTAGCAAGGCATCGAAAAGAGCTGTGTAATGATGGCTGGGTAAATGAGATTAGGCTCTTTCTAGAAGGAACAGCCTTAGTAGAGCGGTGCCAACACTTCTTTCTGTGCTTAGGATGGGACCAAAGCAATCAAAGAGCTCAGTATCTGTTCATGTGTGTCGGTGAGGGAGGCTGAAATGCTCCGAGGGTAACGAGAACTGGCAGCATAACCTATTTCTGCGTGAACTATAAAATCCTGTATGTAAAATGGAATTGGTAGAAGTAATTGATCCAGATTTTCTTTTACTTCTGCTTTGGGGTTAAAGTCAAGCTGCTAATGAGAGACCTTTCCGGTGTGCCCTCCCTTGCCTTTGCTGTTCTGTTAAACATGAGCTATTCTCCGCATTGAAGCGGACCAGCTTTTGATCTCACAGAGCCTGTGTTTAAGCTGCCCCTTTTCTTCGAGTCTCCCAAAACTGCTGTTGACCCCATCGCCTGTCAGCAGCCTCTGTTGCAGGTATTAAGTTCAGCTAGGATGGCAGCCAAGCAGTTGCCACTGCAACTAATGTCGTCAGAGAGCAGTGTTTATCTGTGGCTGACTGAGCCTGATTTTGAACACGCCATATACAATAATCTCAATGATTTGTCCAGTTTATGTTCCTTTACTCCAGGGAGTTCTGCTGAATAACAGTGCCGTGAACAAACCTGTTTCAGCTGAAAAGTTAGTCAGGCTTCTCTGTGCTTGCTAGGTTGATGGTTGGTCTCATTCACTCCCCCTATCTCTTGTGTTTCTGGTTAATCTTAAAAAGTATTTTAATTAGCTGGTAATCTCTGCCCTTGAAGTGTTAATGCTGGTCTGTAAGAGCCTGGCCTGGGCTGCGGGATGTGAAGCAGGATGGCATTCAGGTTCTCGGTCTTGCAGTCAGCTGAAGGCTTTGCATACTCCTTGCCTTAGTTCTGCTTGATTCACCTGCAGCTTAAAACTGTGATTCACATGAGCTGCATTTCCTTACTGGGCTCGTAAAAAAGGCGCAGGGATGTATTTCATGCACAGAAGCTTAGTATGGACTGATGGAGAGCTGAGTGATGTTACTGCTGAGTGATGGGACAGGTAGCGTGTCCCGTGCGTTAGCGTACCAGCAGTGAGTTGGGCCGGTGGGTGCTGATCTAAGCCCTTCCTCTCCCATGAGCAGCACCTCTCCCTAGGTAGGTGTCTGTTAAAGCTGTGATGCAACACTAAATCTTCTCTCTGAGAGGTGTTTATAAGATGGAGATGGCCTGGAAAGCCCCGGCCCTCTGAAAAGACCTGGAGAGGTTAAAATTGAGTTCACCGAATCTGAAAGTAGGCAGGCTGTAAGCAGATGCAACCGCCTCTAACAGCAACTGCGTCTGTTTACTTTGGCTCGGACGTGTACTTTAGCCTGGTTCATGATATCTGTGCTATTAATATTTATGTCTGAGGAGAGGTGAACTTTATGCTGAAAACTGGCAGAGAGAGCGGTGAAACATCTAGGTACACAAGAACCTACCATCAGCTGCTGCAGCAATGGGTGTGGCATAATCAAAATAGAAAACTGTAATTTGGTCATAATGGAACGCACGGCGTAAGATGATGCTGCCAGGCTTCGGCTAGTCTTAGGTCTCCAGTAATTGTTGACGACTTCCTCTTCTGGGATCTTGCAGAAATAGTACAGGATATTTAGTCATTAACTTGGGTGGTGTAATTTGATGCCGTACATTTATGAGATTAAACGTCTGGTGCAGTACTTGACACCTTGGGCTAAAGTGCCGAGTATCATCCCTCAAAGGAGAGGTTTTACTTGTGACAGGGCTGTCCCGTGTGAAAACTGCTTTGCCTGAATTTGCTTTTGTGGCTTTTACTAACATGCAGTCCCTCTCTTCAGTGGTGGAGAACTGAAGTAATAATAGCATTCAGTGTGGACGTTTGAACAGACTTTTTCATCTCTTGCAGAGCAAAGAGTGGAAGATGTACGACTGATTCGAGATCAGCATCCAACTAAAATACCAGTAAGTCTGGTTCTTTTCCTCTTTCACTTCAATTTCCAGTCTCATCTTCTTTTTAGTAGTTAGAAACCCGTAAAAGAGCTGTCTTGATGAGACCACATTCAAATTTGGCTGTTCAGGGTCGTTAAGCCCGGGTTTCAGAAACATTCTCAAACTAGTAACTGGCAGGCAGCGTGGTAGAGCAAGGTGCTAGCTGGGGACTGGAGGAAATGGGGTTTCCTGTGTACTGCAGTTGCATGTTGTAACTTCAAAGAAAACCACACCCCGGCTGAGCTCTGAGATTCTCCTGAGTATTCAGCTCTTCTCGTCTCAGTGTTTTCCTTCTCCAAAAGAAGAGTCTGCAAAGGCTAACCAAGAAGAATACACAATAACCTAGAGACAGATACGGCTTTCATCCCCAGCCTGGGCTGAGAAAGACAGAGACGCCTGCCGTCTGGGAGACGGGCCTTTGCTTGAGGTCTCCAGAAATGCTGCTTGGCTGTCAAACCCCTCCACCTAGCGTTGGGCCACCTCAGAGAGGGGATCAGCCCTCACCTTGTCGCTCTTCTTTGGCCGGGCAGCTCCAAATGCTGCCTGAATTTTTGTTTTATTTTCATTATTGCTTCCTCAAGGTTACAAATGCGAAGCAAAGCATCCTAGGAAGCAAAAGGCATGGATCCGTGATCTATTCCTGACGAGTTCTTCACACCTGGTGGGCTTTTGCGTGACGGCTGTCACCGCAGTAACCAATAAATGCAACCGTCCTTATGGCCATTTGGCTGAACAGGGAAAGCCTCAGGAGATCTTGGGGAAGAGAAGAAATAACTTAATGGGATGCCTTGGCCTTTGGTTCTCAGTGATGAGAGCTGGTGATCCCTGTGAGTGGAAATGCTTCTGTGAACAAACTGCTTGCAAACTGCAGTTTCAGCGCGAGTTCATTAACAGAAGCAGTTGTGGTCTCCACTTCAGGTTTTCAGTTTCCCTTTAGCTTTAAAGTCCTTCACCTCGAAGCTGCTGCTGCTGTTTTACTATGCTGTTGGGCATGGGAACAAGTAATATTTTATAGCAGAGATTTTTCTGACTTTTCTGGAACGGGCAGTTTTCCCAAAAGGCCCTTTTCTAACAAATCTGCTTCCCGACAGAAGATTGCTTTTTCACCCACCTTTCACAGATCACTTAGCTGTAAGTCCCCAAGCTCTGTGACCACAGATTGAAAGTCACTGATTTATAGCAAAGCTCTCATTTTAAGTCAGCCCTGGACATATTACCAGCAAAAATTCCAAGGTACCTCAGCAACTTGCTGAAGATGCAGCCATGCAAACTCACAACTCCGGCGGGGGCCTGCTGGGGTGCCTGGAGGCTTGCTGTGGTTGCCTGTCCATGTCCTAGCTTGAGTCACTGCCTCGTTATTATCATTAGCAGCTCTGGATGAGATAAGATGGCAATGTCATGCTAGATGGTAAATCCTTCCCGTGCTGTCAACATCTTTCATTTTGCTGTTGGGAATATTATGTATTGGTTATGGTCTCTGCCTTTTTAAAAATAGCATTGGGGTTTTTTTCCAGAATGAGCCAGCATTTATGTAAACTGGTGTAAGGAAGTCTTTTTTGCTGGTATAATTAAATTGGCTCGATATCCCTTCACCTGTGCAACTTTTGAGTATCAACACAGCCAGACCCCGTGAGCATGGATGTGATCCAAGTGAATGGTGTCACGTAGCTACCGTTGATAGAAAAACAACAAAGCCCACAAGGCTGTGGAAACGGGAGCGCACGCATTCTGAGATCATTTCTTAAAAGCAGGAACTATATACAGTTGCTGGGCAGGGTGCTACTTAAATTGGCAAATCTGCAATTTCCTTGTGAATTAAGTAGTTACTACCTAACAATCTTGACGGAATTACTGGTTCCTAAGCATGCTGTCTTGAGATTAAGGAGGAGGAAATTTTCTCCTTGGAGGCTTTATACCCTTCAAAAGTAGCTTGCTTTCACGCATTAGAGTAACCCTGGAAGGCGAATGGAATAGCATACTGATCTGGAGGTGTCGTTCTTAGAAAGAGGTGGCCTGAAACTGGAGGAACTGTAGTGAAAACTGGTTCAGTTTGCAGACTTCCGTAGCAGCGCAGGCCCCTGGTCAGCCCCAGCAATGTGTTAGAGGGAAGTGTGCTTTATCTTCTCTTGGGTTTCCTTGTTGCTGGGTAGTTCAGTGCTCGATTACGCGATTCCAGCAAAAGCACTGTTCTGGAAGTGCACTGAAGCTGTGGGTGTTTGTCGTTAAATCCCTGTTGGTTACCCCTCCATGCAGTGACTCTTGCAAACAGAACAAGAGGGGCGGGGGAAGAGAAATGTAATTGTTCCTTTTCAGTTTCGGGATACTGCATTCACAAATGAGGGGAAATGGAGTTGAGCATAAATGCTTGCACTTTGCTGTGCGTAAAATGAAGGGGGAGATCAGACACCGTTCCTGCCTTTCACATCTTCTGCTCCTTTCTTTTTGTCTTTCTTTTCAGGTGATCATTGAAAGGTACAAGGGAGAGAAGCAGCTTCCAGTTTTGGATAAGACCAAGTTCCTGGTGCCAGATCATGTCAACATGAGCGAGCTAATCAAAATTATCAGGTAGTATGCTGTGATTTCAGTGCGAGCTGCATCAGCCACCCCCTCACACGATGATTCTGTGTTAATTCCCCACCTGGTGTGTGCATTTGAGAACTCTTTAAACGGAAAATTCATCTAACGAGCGCTTGGTGTCATCACCGGGACAAATTAATGAGAAGGTGCTCTTCCTTTGGCTTGGCTGGGAAAAAAACTCTGAGGAGGGCTGAGCTGGTGGTCTGCTTTCAGGAGAAATAGCTGGTTCCCAGAGATGTCGGAGGGAAGCTGGGGCTGCGAATCCCTATCTAACATGGGTGCTTCTGGCCCGGGGCCCCAGCTCTTCCTGCTTGGCTATTTTAGGATGCCTTCTTGGTGTTCTGCCTGGGAGTCCCTCTCCGGAGTGCCTGCCTCTTCCCACCCACTGGAGGGGGAGTTTGGGCTCGTAGCCAGAGCTCTGAGCTGTTGCTTAGGGCTGATGTTGGCATCCTTTGATCATGAAATGAGGTTTCCCTCAATGGCAGTGTAGAGGCCTGAAAAACACGCGTTCAGACCCGTGTCTTCTTGCCCCAGCTGCTTGCACAGACTGTGGCTTGAGTACTGCTCCGCTCTGGTGCTTGAGCTTTGCTTGCAAGAAAAGGCAAAGGCAAAGTAGCCGTGGAGTGGAAGTTGTGTGGTCTAAAATTCTGGTCAGAAATTCTGCTAGAAGTGCGTTTCTCCTGGCTTAATGTCAAGAAGGAATATTTGATCAGTAAGAGGTTCTCAGGCGGTAAACTTGGAAGTTAGCAGCAACCCAGAGTTTGCTTTTTGTTGGTCACGGTGTAGCAGGGAGCCGGTTCTTGGAGGCCACAAGCCATAAAAACTGAGAGTTGTCCCACGTGTCCAAACAATTCCCTGCCTTGGAGGCTTGTACAAAAACTGTTGCAAGCAAATCCCAGCTCTTACATGAGTAAGAAAGTGAGATTAGGGGTTTGGAAGCAGGAACCAGATTGCTCAAGTCTTGCAGAATTTCTCACCAACATTAAAGGCTCTGGGCAAAAAGGTAAACAGCAAGCTGAAGGATTTTCCCCACTTTTTTTGTTTGGCTTCGTTGTTAATAGGTGACTCGGTACCAACTGGCCTTGGTCCTCAGCCAGCTCCTCGTGTGCCTAGCAAAGCCTGTCCTTGCCAGCCCCCAGGTCGCTGCTGCCTTCTCCCAGCGCGCTGTCTCTGGAGCGATGAGAGCTGGGCTTTGGAAGGGTCCCTTTCCAGGGCTGTGGCTGGGAGGCTGAATAAATCCTTGTTTCCAGCTTCTGCTGACCCTCAGCGGCAGCGGCGGGGAGCTCTTCTGTTCCGTTGTCCTTTCCTTCTTTCTTTGGTTACACCTCCGTGTATCTCTTGCTTCCTCGGTTCATCAAGTAGTAAGAGCTCCTCTCTGCGGACCTGCTTTCCCGTGGGCAGTTTAGCAGAAATACCTATTTCCCCCCCAGCTGGAGGGAGCGATCCAAGGGAAACCCCGAAGTTCGATGCTTACTGTGCCACGCAGTCCGTGAAGTCTGTCGCGCTCTGCCCCTTCCACGCTGCTTCTCCTGGGAGGGAGGAGAAGAGGGGGGCAAGATGCTCCACAGGTTAAACGCAGGCTGTTACGCAGCTGGTGGCAAAGTGAGTTTAAAAGGTGCAGGGCCCTCTCCTGGAAGCTCTGCCCGTCCTCCCTCCCCATCTTCACAGGGGTCTCTCAAGGTCTCCAGCGAGATGCCGTTGAGCCGCGCTGCGCGCCAGAGGTCCCGCAGGCCCTGCGCGTTGGCTGGTTGTGCAGGCATCGTCCTGGCGAGGGGTACCTCTTCCCTTCGGATCCGCGCCCTTCTGGGGCGGAGCTTTTCCGGGGAAACCGGGGCTTCTCTCAGTAGATGTATTTGACTGGGCTTAGATGATGATCGAGAGCAGCCCTGCCGAGAGGGACTTGGGGGTGCTGGTGGATGAAAAGCTGGACATGAGCCGGCCATGGGCACTGGCAGCCCAGAAGCCAACCCTACCCTGGGCTGCATCGGGAGGAGGGGATTGTGCCCCTCTGCTCTGCTCTGGGGAGACCTCCCCTGGAGCCCTGCGTCCAGCTCTGGAGCCCTCAGCACAAGGAGGACATGGACCTGTTGGAGCGGGGCCAGGGGAGGGCTACT